CTGGTTCAGGTACAATAGGCAGCTCCTGGTCGGAGAGAACTTATAGCCTCGGAGGTCAACCCAGACACACTGCCACCCAGAGGCAGAGCCACGAACTGACTCCTCTGTAAATACAAATAAGGCAATAAGGACTGTGGCTTACAACAAGGAGGAACAGTGTATCAGAGGGAAAGTCAACATTCTCCTGAATTCCCGGCGTGCCAATAAGAAGAGTAGAAGATCTGAAGCACCTGCATTACTGCACATTTTTATTTTTATTTTTTTAAATTACTTTTTCTCCTTTTAACTAAGAAAACATTTTTTTTTTCATTTTTCTTTTTTCTCCATCACCCGATTTTGCCCTTTCAGCTACTATATTTTTATTTTTAACTAGTATTATTACCGCTACCATTTTACCATTTTTTTTAAAGTGTCATTTTATCTTGTCTTTATTTTATTTTGGGACTAATGTTCTCCATTCTATTTTCATCGTTCCTTTAGCAACATTTTTCTCTACCTCAATTTGCCTCTGTGCTAAACCCTCTTCCCCACTTTTTCCCTTTTGCTGTCCTGTTTCTCTTACCCTACTCCAGCTTTAGATCTTCCCTATTCTTTTTATCCTCTGTCAAAATTTAACCCTGCTTAAATATCCTATGCCCAATCCCCTGTTCTAAATCCTTATACACCTTTCCCTCATCTTCCTTCACTATCCATTTTTTTTTCTCTCTCTTCTTCTTCTTTTCTCTCTCTATGGTTTAATCGTGGTTTCCCGGATTGACGAGAAAATTTTTTTTGGTTTTGGTTTTTTTGGTTGGTTGGTTGGTTTTTTTGGTTTGGTTTGGTTGGTTTTTTTTTTTGGAGTGTTTGGGAGGTTAGACTGTTTATTTTTTTTATTTTCCTGCCCCTCCCTCTCCCCCCCCCCCCCCGGTTATTTCTGCGCTTCTCTGTCCCCTTGCGTCGCTTGATATTATTGGTTGTTTGTAGTTTGTATTCATCTCCAGGAATCTGTTGCTGCAATTTGTTGGTATTAGTGGCGGACCTATAGGAGTTTTCTCCTCACATAAATAGTCTCTCCCCCTTTTACACTTCACTTTCTTTTCTCTCTTACTTTTTTTCTTCTTTCTTTTTTTTCTTTTTTTTTTCTCCTCCTCTTTTTCCCCTCCCTTTTCCAATCTCATCTTTGCACTCCTTTTTTTCTTTCTTTCTTTTTTCTCTTCTACCTTTTTCTCTTCTTTCCCCCTTATCTCCCAACTCTCTTAGCTCGGGTGGCCACCTTTATTTGGGGTTAGTAATATCGTAATTACAATAGTGTTCAGTGCCTGGTACGTTGTGCCTTGTTGTGTTGTATTTTGTGCCTATAAATCAACGCAACAGATTCAAGCAACAGCGGCCTCCTGATCACCACACGCTCTGCCTGGGGAACAGTTGCTGCGTCTGAAGCCTCCCTCCACCAGCCAGAAGAGCCACCACAACTGTGAACAGCACCCATCAGAGGCCCTGCTATCAACAGAGGAGCCGCTGCTACCACAACCGCCCAAGGAGCAACCACAGACCGAGGAGCCACTGCCACCCAGGGAGCAGCCACTGCCACCCAGGGTCCAGGCACTGAATGATTCAACAACTAGTAATGTCAGTGAGATCAAACATGGGTAGACAAAGAAACCCCCAAAGGAAAGAAAAGGAGGACTCGCCAGAAAAGCAGCTAAGTGAGACAGAGATATGCAACATGACGGAAAAAGAATTCAGAATAAGGTTCCTAGAGTACATGCACCGGATGTTCAAGAAGCAAGAAGAAACAGATGAAAAACTCAACTACGTATGCAAGAAGCTAGAAGAAACAGGTGAAAAAATCAACAACTTAAGTAAGTCCCAAGAAGAAATGAAGAGCGACATAGCTGCAATAAAAAACACCATTGAAAGTATCAACAGTAGACTGGGAGAAGCGGAGGACCGAATCAGTGAATTAGAAGACAAGGAAGCAAAACACACTCAAACTGTACTGCAAATGGAGAAAAAAATTAAAAGGCAGGAGGAGAGCCTAAGGGAACTTTGGGACAACATGAAACGAAGCAACATACGAATAATAGGGGTGCCAGAACAACAGAAAGATGAACATGGATTAGAAAACCTATTCGAAGAAATAATATCAGAAAACTTCCCTGAGGTGGGGAAGAAAAAAGTCACACAAGCCCAGAGAGTCCCAAACAAGGTGAACCCGAAAAGACCCACACCAAGACACATCATAATTACCATGGCAAATGTTCAGGATAAAGAGAGAATCTTACAGGCTGCAAGAGAGAGGCG